CTGGCCACACAGCAGTAGCTGCAGTAGTGGCAGCTGGAGCTGGGACCAGAGCTGCTGCCATCATAACTAATGGGGCTGGAGTTAAACCCATGACAGGTGGTCAATAGTGGCAAGAGACCAAAGTTGCAGCTTTAACTCTGATACTGAGCCTGGCCCAAACCTTATACTTGGGGGAGATTCCCTCCTCCCCACCCCATGTGGAATGGATGGGAGGAAACGCTACTTGTCTCAGATTCAACTAAGTAAGATACTTGGCTAAGAATCCTTATTTCTTACAACAGAATACAATATATACTGAAGTCCTACAATATATAGCAGTTGTCTGTGCAACAGTCCTTACACATCAATAAAGAAAATGTTCAGAAAAATGCCTGCAGTCATGAGTGAAACAGCCAGCAGTTATAACCACCACTCTTCATATCTGGAATGAAGTATTGAATTATACCAGACAATGGCAAAAACCTCTCTTACCACCATTTTATTACTTCATCAGAAGCAAGATATACCCACTCGGAAGAAGATAAAAATAGAGCACTACTTACAGCAATTGTTCTCCAATAATGGCGTGCTCTTATTTGGGTTACTACAAAAACAATTCTAATTGCTTGAGTTGAACCTGGAGTACATGTGCTGAAATGCTGCTTTCAAAACAAAACCAGACAATTTCCCTTTATCATTAGAGGTCCCCAAATTAACTCTCAATTATTAAATTTTGATTGACCATTTCTATGACCATCTATAATAAAATACATTACATGTGTGCTATTTGTAGTTAGTCCAAAGATATGACCAGGTACTTTACCTGCCATTCATTACCTCAGTCCCATCTTATCCAAAACTGATACTTTCCAGAAAGTGTCCTTTCCATAAATCACTATTTACTAAAGAAACATTCCCATTCTTCTCCCTTTTAAAATTAAAAAAATGCACAGAGGCCTATGACATCCATAAAATAATCCCAAATTACTGATAGGTTTAAACATCAAGTGGAGTGCCCCAAGGGTTGGTCCTAGGGCTGTTTTTGTTCAAAATCTTCATTAATGATTTGGAAGATGGGACGGATTGCACCCTCAGCAAGCTTGCAGGTGACACCAAGCTGGGGGGTGTAGCAGATACACTGGAAGGTAGGGCTAGGATTCAGTGAGACCTAGACAAATTGAAGGACTGGGCCAAAAGTAATCTCATGAGGTTCAACAAGTACAAGTGCAAAGTTCTGCACTTGGGACAGAAGAATACCTACAGGCTGGGGACTGACTTGGTTAAGCAGCAGCTCTGCAGAAAAGGAATCTGGGGTTTACAGTGGACAATAAGCCACATATGAGTCAGCTGTGTGCCCTTGTTACCAGGAAGTCTAATGGCATCCTAGGTTGCATTAGTAGGACACCTGGCAACAGATCGAGGGAAGTAATTATTCCGCTCTATTTGGCACTGGGGAGGCCACATCTGGAGTCCTGTATCCAGCTGTGGGCCCCCCCCTACAGAAAGCATGTGGACAAGTTGGAGAGAGTCCAGCAGAGGGCAACAAAAATGGTTTGGGGGCTGGAGGACAGAACTTGTGAGGAGAGGCTGAGGGAACTGGACTTATTTAGTTTGGAGAAGAGAACACTGAGAGGGGATTTGATAGCAGCTTTCAACTACCTGAAGTGTGGATCCAAAGAGAATGGAACTGGGCTGTTCTCAGTGGTGAGAGATGACAGAACAAGAAGCAATGGGCTCAAGCTGCAGTAAAGGAGGTTATGTTGGATATTAGGAAGAGCTTGCTCACTAGGAGGGTGGTGAAGCACTGGAACAAGTTACCTAGACAGGTGGCAGAATCTCCATCCTTGGAGGTTTTTGAGGCCTGGCTTGACAAAGCCTTGGCTGGGATGATGTCGTTGAGGCTGGTCCTGCTTTGAGCAGGGGGTTGGACTAGATGCGACTTTCTAAGGTCCCTTCCAGCCCTCCTTGTCTGTGATTCTACCTGTGATTTTGTACCTTAAAGCTGAGCAAGGGAAGCATTCAGAGATCTCCACAGCATGTGCTTCTAGAGATGGACAGTTTGAGGTAAGAATTAAGTTATAATGTGTGTGTCTGAAGTTTTTTTGGTCATTTGAAAGGTTTAAAAAAAATCTGTCCCACATCAAGCTGTGGGAGTGATGGCACCGAAGGACTGCAGGGTGATGGATGAAGAAGGCTGGGTTCTGTAGACAGCCAAGAGGAATGCCCTCTCACTCAGTACAGAAAATGGACAGTATGAATTGAATGAAACTGAATGCACAGCATCTTGCCTCATTCAGCAGCAGTAGTATGGAACCAGTTGGTGACCCCCCCGTGACAATACTGAAAGCCGTTTCACAAAGCACAATGTAATCTGCACGCTAACTGAACCAGTGCTCGTGAGTTAAAAAGAATTTGTCCACACTTTCTTGATCCTACTATTTATAATCCCTCACTTGTCAAAATGACTTTGTTAGGCTGTGTTCCCTTGCCCATGAAATAGGGATAAATATATTTCTCTCACTTGAAAGCGTTTTGAGATCTAATTAAACGCTTTATAACATTTAGGAATCTCTCTCCTACTTGACTTGACACATGGCTCATCTCATGGGATAAGACTACCATCCTTGGCAATTTTATAGTCTCACCCTACACACTTCCATGTCCGCTTTCAAGCTTCAAACCTGGATCACTTGACCATAAACAAAATAGTGGTTTCTTTGGGCTTGCCTTCAACAACACTTATTTTTTGATCTCTCACTAACAGACTCCCTTCTCAGAACTACTATTCTACTTGGAGAAACACCTTTACAACAACAACACATCCAAGAATAATTTAAATGCTGTCATGGTAACAAGAAGGTAAATCAACAGCCTTAACTTCTATCACCTAATTGTGATAACATACTCTGTCAACTAAGTAGGGTATGGGTCTACAACCTGGGAGACATTTAAGTTTTACCCAAACTCAGTATTTGCAAAGAAAATACTATTTGTTTCCTTAAGATATTGGTCTCTTGCCACTACTACAAGTCTGTCTATTGAATACAATGTTTCCTCACAATGGGGAAGCCTGCATCACTAAAGACTGAAGAAAGCTTTGCATCAGCTAAGTTATCGATCATCCAAGACAAGCTCGTTGAAGATTTTGGAAACACTATTATAACGGCAAAGAAACTTCCTAGTCTCCTGAACAACCATTCTGTAAGATGTCAAAAAAAATCTGAAGATAAGCTGTTGCTTTAGAAGAGATTTCTGTCACCAACACTATCAGCCTTCTTGCATCCATTCCACAATATCTGGAAAGATGTTTTCAGTGAACTGGATACCTTGGATTCCCAGTATCACTTATTCTTCTTCAGTCGTCTCAACTGTGCCTTCTGAGATCTCTAATGCATCAGCATCCTTGATTTCCTGTCTGTAACGAGTCACCATGCCCTGCACTGACTAAATGATTCCCTTAATTCTACACACCCTCTCTCAGCTTCTTTGGAAAACTTCCCCACTGCACCAGCATCATTTTGATCTGAAAACGTGGCCCAGACCTAATGCAGAAGAGGAAAAAAATGTGACTGGAAAGTTATGTAAGAAACTGAAAGACCAAATAAGCTAAAATGGTAAAACGTTTTGGATTCTGTTAGCTCTGAAATTTTCTATTTTTTTTCCGACAAATAAAGAATGCTTAATTTATAAGCTTTTTGCTAGCAATCACTACTACAGTATGAGCATTTATATCACAACCCACTGCTACGTCACATGTTTCAATTTAGTTGCTCAAGGTAGTTTAGACAAATGTCGAGTATGTTTAAAAACAACTTCTATATACACCGCACAGGAAAAGAATGGCAATAACTGCTTTATGAAAGCAAATATTGTCACTAAATAACAAGCTGTACTCTGGTAAACAATGCTACTGCAAAATGAACTTTACAAAATGAGAAACAATCCTGTCAGCATTCTGTATGCATTAATACCAGTGCAGCTACTCTTGTCAAAAAAGGATTAAAAAAAAAAAAATCAGTTTGCTTCCAAGAAATACACGTATGGAAATAAGCAAGAATGTATACCAAATATTTAAAGCTCATGGGGAAGAACATTTAGCTTTTTACACTTATAAAAAAGGATCTACAAGAACCAGAGGATAAAGGGGAAAAAAAAAAATCACAAGCTGGTAAGTATTTGATAACATATTAGAAAGCTTCTACCTACCCACAGATCAAAGCAGGAAGAAAGTAGTGAAAGAACAAAGAAAAAACAGATGCGGAATAGAAAATTAGGAGTACATGAAAGGGAGAGTGTAACATAGTCTAAGGGTACCTTTACTAACTGTATTTTGTCACTATATTTTCATCTCACAGTTACAGAAATTGCAATTTCTTCAATATTACACCCTCTCAAAAGTTAAAAAGAGAACTAGCAAGAATTGCCAAAAACTTAATTTATACAAGACTTCTGAAATCTGCAGTTAAAATGATCAAGATAGGGACCTTTAAGATTTTGACTACTATCGTGCCCTGTAACATCTGCTATACAATGCAAGTCCAGTACATTCTTTTCTGAATGCTTTAGGGAGGCAAAATATTTAGCTGATGGTCCTACAATTAGTATGCATAACTGCTTAGATTCACTGAAATATTTGGTAAGATGCATATAATACAAATTGCCCTGGAACCAAAAATCCTCAACCTGGAGGAACAGAAAGGAACAGAAAAGAGTGAAAGAAAAAAAAAAAAAGCTAGCCCTTGCTTGGTTTTCTGGGGATCTGTATGATGCCTTGTTACCTATTCAAGTGAAACTGTGTTACACAGGCCACCTAACTGGAGCCTTCACTGAGGCCAGTGTTAACATTTCCTAAGATGCTTCCAAAAAGCTGAAAGAGAAAGGAATTACATATCTAGAAACTTTTCTAAAATGAAGAGAACACTCTGCAACGTGAAAGCCCATTAATTAGTTAGTAAGCCAATGCAGCTTCGCAGCCTGATCAAATCGCCCACCCTTTTCCAAAAAAAGCATCTGTTCTATACCTGTGAAGTCGACATGCGAGAGGTATCTTGTCGGCCTGTTAAGTCGGATGAGGAGATATTGACAGGGGCACCACGATGCAATCTCATACTCACTTTCCTTTCTCGCTCCATTCCAGACACTGGACGAGGAGAGGTGTTAGCTGTGAAAAAAGTGTTAGAATTCTTGAAATGCACATATAGACAGCATTAAAAAGTGGTCACTTACCCAAAATAATGCAGATTCCTCTACAGAAGAATTATATTGCCTCTAGAAAGACAGACTGCGGAGGTCATGCGCCTAATAAGACACCCACAGGACCTTTTTAAATAGTAACTATCAATTAATGGACTAGAATTTCTTCCAGACTTCTGCTGAGTATGTAAAGGATATGGAAACCCTTTTATATCAGCTGAGGAGCTGGACTCTCAAATGCAAAAGGTCAGGAAGTTTCCAGCCAGGAAAACACAGCTATGCAAAGACTTTTTTGTTTTTAATAAAAGGTGTCATGGGGAAAAGACAAACTTGTAGGTCCCTTTTGTAGAGAGACAGTAAAGAGAAACAGAAGCTAATTCAACTGTGTACTCAGTGATCACACTGAAGGGAGACGGAAAATGTCTAAGACAGGTTGAACACAGAAAAAAAAAAAACCACATTGAAAACTTTTACTTTAGGTAAATCTTTTAAAACTTGTTCTATTTAGCAAGAGTCTAACAGGATCTCCTTGATCCCTTCAGATACATACACATGTTCAGCCAGGAAATCCATTGGTTATCCTGTCAAGTAAAGAGACTAGGGGTCTAGATGTTGGTTTCCTGAGGCAACAAGCCTGTCTTTGACAATGGGGTAGGAAGTAAACAAATGATCTTTAAAGAGATCCAGAAACTCAGATTTAACCAGATGTGCCATGTCCAGGCTGACATGACTAAGATCATTCTGGGTTTCTTCTGCTAAACCTCCAATACTCCAAGGATGAGTAGAAAGGGAAGTGAGATGTAAAAGTAGCAATCTCCTTTCAGTCTAAATAGAAAGATGTCTGCATACACATAATGGATCTCTGCTTGCTGAGGATACCAACTTAGGTTGTCCATTTTTTAAAATGTATCTATCACAATTAGATCAGATATGTTTTGAATCAACTATTCCCACAGACTGATCACCATTTCACAAAGTAGCATAATTACACACAGATCAACGGAAGATAGATTTATGAGGCACAGCCAGCCAAATGGTCCTTGACTCCAGCAAATGCGTGGAGATGCTATTTTTAAGGCTCTCAGAGGCCACAGATAAATCCAATGCATTCTCCAACCACAACTCTTATCATCCAAGTAGGGTGAGAGAACTGCATCCCTCTTAACACAAAATTGCAAGGAACACACTTGAGGCCTTGGCATCAGTGCCTCTGGGCGGAGAGCTGCTCTGGAGCCAGACTGGGATCTTGCAGCAGTGAGTGTGGTCCACAGGCAGGGCAGAGCTGTGATCTGCAGCCTGTATGCCCCAGGCAGGGACATGCAGGTAGCAGATGGCAGCTCTGCCCCACACTGTCACCCCTGCAAGGAGTCAGGGCAGAGCCACAACCTGCTGCCTGCATGTGCCTGCCTGGGGCATGCAAACTGCAGATTGCAACTCTGCCCTGGCTGTGGACCACACTCACTGCTGCAAGATCCCAGTCTGGCTCCAGAGCAGCTCCCCGCCCTGCCAGTGCTGCTGGGACTGGTCTCACACTATCACAGTGTGGTTGCTGGTGGGGTCTCCATGGAAACCAGCCCCAGCCACGTGGGTAGGGGCTGCCAGGAAAGCCAGTTTGGCCACCAGACATATCTGCCATTTTGCCCACCCCTATTCTAAGGCCATCCTACTTAAACAGTTGGTAAGTATTTATTATAAATTCTTCACTTAACTGGGGAGAGAGTCTTTACAATCAACCCCTTTCATTAACATATAGCCCATCAGGTTGTTGATAAGTGTCATTAATCATTGTATACCTATGACTGTAAACCTGGGGAAAGTGGGGAATAATGGGCCTAAGATGTTGCAAAACCTGAGCCAGAGCTCAGGGTTACTGGGGTCTGGTCTACACCTATCCTCCCAGGCTTAAGTATGTTGTTTTTTTTTTATTTCTATTGCCTGATGTGGATGCTAGTAAACTTATGTTTAGCTTTTTAATAAAATGATTCCCTTGAAAGGAAACAGGTGTGCTCTCTCTTTATTCCAGGGCCCCATCCAACAGAGCAGGTTCCCTTTATCCCAATATGGGAATAGAGAGATCCCATTCAATAATAGTACGAAAAACAAACACTGACCTAGAGGAAGCAGATTACATCCATAACTTACAATTATGAATGTTAGTGACGTATTATTCATCTGTAGAACTTCTTGCTACAGGATGCTGATAGGGACAAATACTTTACATTATTCAAGAAGGGACTGGACATTTATAGGGATAAGAATGATATCCAGAGTCATGGGCAATACAGTTAGGAAGAGATATAGGTGCAAAGAAAAATAATTCACGTTTCAGGGTCTGACCCAAGTTCCAAATGAATGAGGAATTAGAACGAGACCCTTTTTTTATTTTTTTGAGAGGTGGGAAAATGGGGCAATTATCTCATATTTGTCATATCTGCTGAATCCTCTTGATCCTTTCTATGAAGCATTTGGTACTGGATCATACTTTGGAACAAGATAATGGACCAGGCGGACCACATTTTTTGTCCAGTATTTCAATTCCTACATCCTTAATTCCAAGCAAGGCCCAACGTGACCTAGAAGCTTCCAAAATATAATGAATAAAATTATTATACACACATATACACTTTTTATTTTTTATAGATATAGTTCAGCTTAAAGTTGACAATTACACTTGTAAGCCTGACACAAAGAAAACAAGCAGCTGGTTCCAGCAGCATCTAGAACCCGTGAGAGTTCTGCACTATCCTCAAACTGATGGTAAAGAAGGCTCAATGGGGCTAATGCCACCAAAGAAACTGATTCCTGATCAGAATAACCAAAAGCTGGTATGAAACTAAGTTAGTCACACACGAGAAGATCAAATGTGTATTTGGTGGCTATTTCAACATGACATAGTGCTTTGCAATTTTATTTGCTCATGACTATGGTGGGGTGCAATAAAAGATTAAAATCTCTAATATCAATAATCAGACAGGTTATTTAGTCTTTAAGAGGGCTAAAAACAGATCAGTCCTATCAGTCCTTACGTTATCTCTTACATAAAATAATAAAAAGAATCATTCTATTTAAAAAAGCAAAAACTACACTAAAACCACTATTAGAGAAATGCTCTATTTTTTTTACAAGTTTGAAACTGGGATTCAACAAAACACTTATACAACTGATTTTAACACCCTAAGAATCTGTAAGTTACCCTGAGGAAAAAAAAAAAGATGGGGGAGAGGGGTAGGCAGAAATGCTGAAAAATATGCAGTTAAACACAATAAGAAACTCTGACTAAAGATCAAATCAGATTGGCCTGTAGCATGACTAGCATAGCGCACAGCAGAAAATAAAAACCCGGTATGGTAATTTAGAAAAAAGCATTTACAAAAAGTGTGTAAAATCTCTCTGGTTCTGTTTATTCACTCAAGCTGACTTTAAAAAATGGCCAAGTGCTACATTTCAATTTCCAATAACCAGGAAGCAGCTGAGCAACAGAACGAAGGACTCTCCCAAACCTGCCTTTTTTTGCCAGGAAGTTTATTACTTACCAGTATGTGAGGTTGGAGTAAGAGGAGTGGGAGGAGCCACATCTTGCGTTCCTCTCAGCCTACCAGAAGCTGTGGAAGGTAAGCCACGGACTGCTGGATTTCGTGCATGTCTCATTCTTTCCTCTCGTTCCCTTCGCTCCCGTTCAGCATCCTCAGCAGCTCTGCTTGCACCCTAGGGCACGAGATGAGTAAACCACCAGAGAAACTACTAAGCTTATTACTGCTGTCTCACATACTAGTGCAAGAGCAGTAATTCTCAACCAGAGTGTTGAGGCACACCTTGGGAGCCTTTCAAGGGTGACGCACGGTACCCACAGTGTTAACACTTAAATGTGCAAATACAATTCACAAGATAAACCCCAGAGACTTCAGATATAAATTCATAGTTCTAAAAACACTCTGCCCTTCTGTGATCTGAGCTCTCTGCAACACAAGAATTGTTATATTAAATTTTTCTGTGGTCAAAAAAAAAAAAGTGAGAAACTAAGAGCTGGCATTTTCTGAGGGGGGCATTAAGTTGAATGAGGTTAAGCAGCACTGTGCTAGAGCCTAAGAGTGCCTACAAATGAGTGTGGAGGCTGCTCTGATGTGCTACAATTCTAGTGTGTCAGAGCACACTCGATTAATCAAGTCTGCTCTAGCGTGGCAACTGCTGTGCTCCAGCAGCCTCCTGAGTCTAATACATCAGTGTCCCTGTGCTTAAAAATCAAAAGCATCACTAAAGCTTGTTCAATGAGCTTGTTTTTTTTTTTTTTTTTTAAACTATCAGCTTTTTCAGTACAAGATATGTGGCTTTTTATACACAGGAAGGCACCCAGGACAGGGGCCAATGCAATATGAAGATTAATAGTTAATTGCTTTTGTTACTGTTCTATAAATTGGGTTGAACTAAAATTGGGTTAGTTTGCATTCTCTGAAGTGGAGCAAGTTTTTCCATGAACTACTGTTGATCTCAGATCCTTCATATCATTAAAATTAAAGAAATTGGGATGGGCAGCAACAAGGTCAAAATTTTTTAAATTTCAGTCAGAAGTAGTTTCCATGCTTTGAGAAATTACTACTATTTCAAAATGTCTTCTTTTCCCAGGCCACTTGGTCCAATTATGAGATCTCACTTTATTTTAGCACGTTTGTTAGTAATCAGTAATCTCAGGGAATAGTGACAAAAATGGTTTTCTATTCTAAAACATTTCACTCATCAATTGAAAATTTTTTACAAAAGCATTCATAATGGGGAATTTTGGCTTGTATGAGACGTGCTGGTGGATTCGGACATTTCACTTTTCTTCAGTTGCCATCCCTGCTGTACTACAAAACAGATGAGGCAACATAACATCTGCTTTTGTACAGTTTTAGCCTGTGCTCAGATACCAAAAGAAGGCTGGACACTAAAAAAATGTCATTTCACATGCTAGGACTTCTAGGAAGTAGGTCTAAAATAAACAACACAAAGAAACCCCAAACTAAACTTGAAAAATAGAATGGCTGAACATTTCTAACAACTTTCTTGATTAATTGAGCAATGAGAGCTACTTACAAATTTGAGCATATTCCAGTCAAATACATAGTCATAGGAGAAGCCTTGCCGGTGGAACAGGTTTCTGAATAATTGTCTTAGATAGGAATAATCTGGCTTGTCATCAAAACGCAAAGAACGGCAGAAATTCAGGTATGTAGCAAACTCAGCTGTAATAAGAGAAATCTCACTTACCAGTGTCACACGTACTATTATAAAGGGCTGTTCCAAAATTAGCATACTATTTTCTACCATACTTACAGCATTTTGTTTTAAATATAAACACCATCTTCCCCAACAATTCCTTCAGACTCATCAAGCTACCAAAAAGCAACTGTGCAGTTTCAGTACACCAAACATTCACCCTCTCTGCCCTGAGGCAACGACAATATTTAAATATCTACAGAAATTGAGGCACTTAAAAAGCAGACATATTTTTGTTCTGAATCATAAATACCTCAGAATCTTCTCATGCAAGGAATAACGGCCAAAGCCAAAACATGGATATTTAGTGGAGACAAGCCCCACCTATCAAAACATGGGCAAAAAAGGACTTTTATGAGACCTGGTGTCTCAATACACCCTCAAAATAGATAAAAAACCAACCTGGGAGTAGCAGAGAAGACCTGATATTAGAATCCCTACTGAAATTGTTAGGGATTGGAGAGGAACACCCTATAGTAAGCAGTAAGGAAAGAAGCAAAAAATGGAATATATATATATTTTATCGTTCACAGCTTCAGAATGTATTTCAATTGCTTTTCTCAGAGAAGGTACAATGTCCTTTTCATGTAATTATTCATTTTAGTATTGGATATATATATGTGCCAATTTAATGACAAAATACAGTACAGCTAGGGGTCTACCAAACTCAAGGAGACTGCTGGCAGATTTTGCGGGGCAGGCAGCTATTTTTGTGACCCCCCACTCACTTCCCCACCAAAGCCCCTGATTGGCCAAGAGGCCCCTATAGTCCTGCCCCTCCCCGCAGATTGCCAGATGGCCCCAAACAGCCGCCTGCTTAATAACATGTCAATTAATGGCTTCCATGGGGTTAAGCTCCTGATTAAGGCTGCGGAAGCCATTTGTCGACGCATTAAGCTATCTGAACATTTAATTAAGGTCTAAAATGAAATATCTTGTTAAAACAAAGCAATGCACAACATGAATTGCAAGTAATGCAATGATAGACACTTCAATAACTAACGCCAACCATATATCATTTATTAAAGGATGTTATGAAACAGAGTTTACTAAAACTGACTGCTAAAACTTGAGACAGGCAGTTAATGCTATGTATTAAAAGTGAGCATGCTACACCCAGCCACAGTCTCTGGAGACATTCTCAGTCTCTGTGAAGTGAACACGTGTCCATACACTGAGATGGCACACTCAGCATCCACTGAGTTCACTGGAATGGTGAGGCAGTGTCTTGCCAGGGCATAAAGATATGGAAACCGGTTTCAGATAGAGTCCTGAACGTAGGCACGGCCACAGGCATCTGGCACTCTTTGACTAAGTTCATGTAGGCAGCACGTTCACGGACGTGGTCATGTTCTTTCCCCCATCCCAGGATTGATATCAGTAGCTGAGGGTCAAAACTCAACAAAGGCACCTGGATGAGGTCCAAATTGCAAAAAGCCCCAAGGAAGGGAGCAGCTGGCTGTCTGAACTGCAGTGGCAGTGACAGATTGTACCTACAGTACTAGTTCAGCTTCAAAACTATTGCCTGGAACAGCAACTTTCTGCACTTGTTTCCACAAGGTCAACTGGACAGTTTCTGCAATACCTTGTCTCGAACCCAAATTATCAAGTCCATCAGCCTGTTGTGTCCATGGTGGATCCCAGCCTGCCAGCCTTCAAACCATGTCAGGAGCTCCATGAACTGGGTGGAATTGTTGCCCCAAGCATCACTTGATCTTGAATGTTGCCTCACCCCAAGAGATTGCAAAGCTTGAGCATGCACTGTGTGCTGAGTGTGATTTCCAGCTCCTCACTCACAAACTGCTGGTAGTGCTGCATGTGCTTGGTGTGGTAACAGACTGTGCTGAACCAGGAATTCTACCATGTGAGCACAGGCTCTGGTGGCAGTGGCACAGTGGCACGCGAGTCCCCACTCTGACTGGAGATGGACTCCCTGTACTGAACCTTACAACCTGGACAGTGCTTGGTTTTCCTGAAAGAAGACACCAGGCTACCCATCTCAGGGAACTGCGTGTGCCAGATGCACACATTCTGTCCCCAGTAAGTGACATTGCGAGTGATATGAACAGTGTTGGGCAGCATTCTTTGGAGTATGGCACTGTCAGACAGGAACGCAGCGATCTTGTTAAAGTCTATGCCATAGCTGACAGTTACCTTTACGATGGCTTGGGATATGGTGGAAAAATTGACAGAGGTGAGGTGGACTGGCTGAGTCTGAAACATAGGCAGATCCTGGTCAGTTCAGCTCCCCAGTACAAATAAAGTGCGCAGCACATACTTAGGATGAGGGCTGGTGGCTTCATCAGCCACAATGGGAAAGGAATGATACTCTGCTAAGGCAGCATTCATAGACTGTACATGAGAAGCAACTGCTGCAGAATCTTGGCAGAGCTTGTTCGCACACAGAAAACTGCCAGCATTTGCCACGTTTTGGTTCAGGTAGTTCCTGAACTTGGGGTGATCAAGTTTCTCCAGCAGGATGCTAGCCACGGTGAAGGCCTCCACAAGGGAAAATATTGCCCCTTGCCTTGCCAAACTGCTTTCCACGGTCCTTCTAAAATAGGGAGAGCATGGTTGCTTGCCTCTGGTTCTAACCTTCAGCCTCTGCAGCAGCCTTCTTTTTCATGTGTGCCTTGGACTCCAACTGCTGATCGATGTTGGTTTCCCGGGACACATCCAGAGTTACAGTGCAGGAGGTACAGAAGTCTGCCACCATCTGTGCGCAAGGTCCCTGCAGGATACTATTTTACACCACCACCACTGCAATGTATTTGGCTGTCTTAGAGCAGATTCCCAAATTTCTTATTGTGCTCAGTGTTTTCACACAGCCTGCTTGAAATCAAAGTTTTCCGCAAAAATTGAAAAATAGCAATTTCAGCGGGGGCGGCGCCATCTGAATTACTGAAGAAGCCACATTGCAATGATGTAGTATTCTGATAGAAGTCCAGTACTCTGAATGTCTAATAAATGCTCAGTTGCCATGCACACACAAATATCGATACAACAACCATCATATACAGCAGGTATCAGAAGCGTTGTACTGGAAAATTTGGTTTTCAAATTTTTCATTGCATATTTGCGATCACAATACTGCACTAACCATTTTACATTTTAAAAGCCAAGTAAGGGACATTTTAACGAAATATATATAAATGATGTGGGTCAGGAACTTCTAGTCTGTTTCAGAACACAGAATAAGAAAATGGCCAGTGAAACTGAAAAGTAGCAAATTCAAATTAGACAGGAGAAAGTACTCTTTGACAACTCAAAATTCAAGAACAAAGGTATGCAGGAGGCCAGGATTTCTGTGGGCAATATTTCTTATTGAACTAACTGCATGGTTTGGGAAACTGACAAGCTTTCAAATGCAATGCATTCTTTCAGGGCCCTGAACAACAAGACCTGAAGAAGAATCCATTATATTCAAAAGCTTTTCAAAGTCTATCCCAACCCCAGCAGTCCAATAAAAGATAAACCCACCTAAAATTTGCCTCGCACGTTTCCACTGCAGTGCCACTAGAGGACAAAACTGGTACTGTTAAGAACTATAAAAGCCCAGTCTTTGAATCTAGCTAGGGAAAACAAAGATACCCATTTTCAACAAAATTGCAAACAATCTTTGAAAGAGATTAAACCTTATTTTTCAGGGCTTAAATTTATTTCCAATTTCTAAGAATTAAGAGGGTACCTAAAGTGGGGGGCAGACTACATATGGGGGACCACATTAATTTCATGCAAGGCTATGGCATTTTCTTCTGGCACTTGCTATTGTCAGGCACAGGATACAATATCAGATGGAACACAACTCTGCTCTGCTATACCACTTTTTACACTCACAGATAAAAGAGTTACTAGTAGTACAAGAGTGTTTCAGAAAGAATGGCAATTTTGAAATAAAACCGTTTTGTGTAAATTTATCATTTACTGGATTTTTCCCACTTTCTCAGACATACAGTGCAGACAACCATTTTGCTGTTAGTTTCTGAAACGCCCTCATGCATTCACCTATGCAATCCTGACCATTCAAAAATGATAACAATGCCTGAAGAAAATGCACAGTTCCTTCAGACAGTTGTTTTTGTTTATAAGTATAATGTACAGTATGCACCCAGGGAACTTACTAAGCTAGTTATCAAATACTGATCACCAGAAAGTCTCAATAATTGCAAAAAAATCAAGAAGTTTTATATTACAGATTTCATAGACATTAGGGCTGGAAGGGAGCTCGCGGGATCATTGGGTCCAGCCCCCTGCCTAAAACGCAGGAAGTCAGCTGGGGCCAGATCACCAAGCATCGAAGCATTTCTTAAAGGTATCCAGAGTAGGTGCTTGCACCACTTCTGGGGGGAGTCTATTCCAGACTCTAGAGGCTTGGACAGTAAAGATATTTTTCCTTATGTCCAGTCTAAAACTGTCTTCCAGCAGTTTGTGACCGTTAGACCTCATCTTCCCCTACTGAACAGACATTCTTCCAGTTCCTGATGCACATCCCTTATATACTTATAAGCTGCCACCAAGTCACCCTTGAGCCTTTGCTTCTCTCCTCATAAGGCCTGTTCCCTTGACCCCTAATTATGCACATGACTCTCTCAAGCTTCTCCACATCTCTTCTAAAGTGTGGAGCTCAGAATTGGATGCGGTACTCCAGCTGCAGCCTCACCAAGGTCGAGTAAAGCAGGAGAACTTCTTGGGTCTTGCTTGAGATGCAACAGTGGATGCAAGCCAGAGCTTTACTTGCTTTGCCAGCTGCAGCATCACATTGGTGGCTCATGTTCATCTTGTGGTCAGATGAAGGAGCAATGAACCAGGGACACAGACAGCCCGCATAAAGCAAGTGCAATATCTGTGAGCATGGGTATTGAACACATCGTGAAGTCCGACATGTCTTTTCACCCAAAAAATGACAGAATAACAGCTGAGTTAATTTAGTTTAAACATGCAGCATGAAGCAATAGACACTACCAATTCAATGCCGAGAAAGTGTAAAAAGTTTAAAGTTTATAATGATTCTAAAAAAACAACTTACAAGGGTATCCTTTACATAAAACCTCAATGGGTGTAGACATTTTCTTTTCGCTGATACGTTCGTACTTCTGTCTTTTTGTTGCTGCCTTTAGCCCCTGCCAGGGAAGGGAGCCCAGGTTAAAATACATCAGTACGTAGCCCAAAGACTCCAAATCATCTCTGCGAGATTGCTCTGCAACAGTATAAGAGAATGGACTTGTTAGTTTTATTTTTTGATGAAAGATCAAAAGTGCTTATGTAACAAACATCACCGAAAACTCTCACACACTCGCTATAGTTTAAGATGAGTAAATTTGTGTTAAATTTCTCCGTCAGATACTAGAAAAAAAATCTTATAAACTCTCATAGTTATTCACCACTCAATTCCTTGGAACTAGAGGTGTACCGACATATCAGTAGACTATCAGATCGGCACCATTAAAAAGGGGAAATGACATCAGCTATCGGCTTTGTTTGGCTGTTGTAGCCGATAATGCTTACCGATGATTATGCCTTCTGGCCAGGTCCCTGATACGTGGATTCCCTCTCCCCCGTGGGGCTGGGGCCCCCAGATGCCTGGGTTCCCTTGGGAAAAGGCAGGTTTCCCCTTGCAGGTGGGCAGCATTCTAGCATGCAAGGGGCTGGGGGTAGTGGGACACAGGAGGTCCAATCCACATGCACAGCCACATGCATGTGTGTGGCCAGGAATACAGCCAGGCAGTCTGGAGAGTAGCTCCCTGCAGGAAGGGAAGGGGCACTGGGGGGAGGGCACACAGCTGCAGATTGAGGCTCCCACAGTGAGGAAGGGAATAGGGCAGGGGCCCTGGGGCAGGGAGTGGCTGGCCTGGCAGCGGAGGGGATTGCAAGTTGTGCCTCCTGCTACTGGGCAGGCAGGGGACACACAGCTGGTGTGGGACTCTCAGGGCAAAGGCAGCAGGGCAGAGGATCCCCAAGCCCACAGCAAGCAGCCTACATCCGCCCTTGTCCTGCTCAGCTCTGCTCAAAAGCATCCCCATGCTGAAACATGGCAGCAGCAGTGCTTGAACTAAAGCTCATTTGATGAGCTTTAGTTCAAGCGATCCTGTCACCATTTTTAAGCGCCAGGAGGCTGCTGGAGCACATGAAAAAAAAAAGGTTTAATGTCAATACTTTAAAATGCCTTGCATTATTACTAAATATCAGTTATTGGACTGGCATCAGCTGATAAAGTTGGTTAATAATCTGCATTGGCTAAGGAAGTCTTTATCGGTGCACGCCCACTTGAAACTATTAGTTCACTGAACCCATCTCCACCAAGAAATGATCTTAAATAAATCAAATACCTAGTACCATATTAACAACAACATGCATTTTCTTTCTAAATCTCTACAAATGAAGATCTGTTAGCTAAAAGGATTTCATATTTATCTAGACTGTATATGTTGTTAGCTGCACCTTCAAAATGACATACATTTGGCTAGAGAGAGGGCTATCTTTTCCAGCTCACCAATTCCAAGATGAGTATTGATGGATGCATAACGGGCAGTTCCTGTTAAGTTTTTGTTTTCACGATATGGGATGTGCTGGTGAGTTCGAGCATCTCTATATTTCTTGGCTAACCCAAAGTCTATGATGTAGACAAGGTTGCCCTTCTTTCCCAGCCCCATCAGGAAATTATCAGGTTTCACATCTCGGTGGATAAAGTTCTTAGAGTGAATGTATTCAATACGACTTATCTAGATTCAGAGAAAAAAAATAATTCAAGAGGCGCTGAACATGCACTTTTCTTACTGGAGACACTGTCATAAACAAAGATGTCCTTACCTGTTTTATCTTTAGTTTTAAAGGCCTGTACTTTAAAAAAAACCCCACCCTACAAGTATAAAAGCTGCATTGCATAAAAAAGGCTTTGTGTATCATTAACTAGAGTTTTTTGAGATGCATTTGTATTCACAGTCTCACGGTGGGGTATATCAAACCCTGAATTATTATTATTATTTTTAATCAGAGACTTCAATTGTAGTGGTACTCATAGGCACACTCTAGCTCCATCTCTCCTCCTGCCTAGCACCAGGGCATGAAGAGCAGCACACACTTTCTGCTCTTCAGTTTCCTCTGAACCACAGTGTCCCAAACTGCATTTCATTCAGAGGAAGAGGGAAAGGAAGGAGGTGTATTGTACACATACATGTCCAGACATCTCAAAGAATCCAAGTTTCTGTAAGTAGCTTTGCTATCCCTTTCAACTGATTGTCCACATCATTACATAGTCTCATGGTGGGCAACATTAAAGCAGTGGCCAGACAACGAGAGATGGGATTCAGGAGCCCTGTAAGCAAACTGCACTTGCAGAACCAAACTACCAAGTGTGGTATCTACCCCAGAGGCTTTGGTTTCTGACTTGAACAAATTCTGAGAATTCCCAGTTCTAAGATGGTTATGCAAGAGAAGGCACCAAGACAGTGCCTCAGGAAGAGGCCACTTTTGCTTTAGTCAGGGGAGAGGAAACAGAGTGCTCCCATCTCTCTGAGGAAAGAAAATGTAACAGGTGGTTGTGACAAAGAGGTGAAAGCATTCTAGGAGGGTGCTGAGCATGATACTGCTGAAAACTCAATCTCCTCCGGGGAACCAGAAGACACTGCTGGGCCCAGTCCCATGGCAATTCTGCAATCTGTTGGCACATGGACGATGCATCTATTAATAGCTGTTGAACAGATTAGCTGGAGTGGTTTCCCCTGGCATCTCTAAAACAATGACGGAAGATCCTAAGAAAAGTAATGAATAGTGGACAGAGAGCACTCCTGTGTCCAATTCAATGCTTTCCCTCTAAAGCATCCACCCTTGCCACTGTCGGAGATGGGATATCGGGCTAGATGGACCACTGGTGTTGACCTCAGATGCACTTCTTATGTTAAGAAAGGAGCATGAGAGCCAAGACTGAGAAGGGAACATTTTACACTGAGCACAAGGCTGCTCAATAAGCTTCTCCCAAAGGCTTCCAGCTTCGGAGAAAGGTGTGAAAGCTAGTTCTATAAGAGGAAAGGGGGGATAAAATCCTTTTCTTAATCACAGAAGAGCAGGACTTCCCATCTCAGCATTCCTTCTGCAGTTACCATGCAAGGCCAGAACATTCAATTGTGAGGGTGCTGTTAGAGGTTACCTTTAAAGCATTTCAAATCTATAGTATGGTATGCTGTCAAAGAGGCAGAAGAGTTTCAGAGCAACTACAGGTCAAGGCTTAATGCAGGGGCTGGCAACCCCTGGTATGTGTGCCGAGTGTGGCATGAGAGGCCATTTTGCTTGGCACGCCACAGCCAGCCCTGGCTCCAGGTAGCTGCTGCCAGTGATGGAGCCCAGGTTGCTCCCAGCAGGGCTTGTAGAGTCCCAGCTGCCTGCTGGGAGCAGCCCAGGATCCCAGCTGGTAGCAGATCCCCAGAGCCGGGAGGCTCCAAACAGCTGTGCCAGGCTCCGGCATCAGCTCATGCAGGCGCGCCTTGGAGCAGGTGGTGGGGGAGGGGCCTGAGGCAGTGCAGCCCTGGTCTCTCCCCTGCTCCTGGCAGGGAGGTCATGAGTCCAGCACAGCTGTTTGTAGCCAGCCTGGGCTCTGGGCAGCTGCAGCAAGCAGCGGGCAGGCTGCAAACAGCTGCGCTGGGCTACAAAGCTCCGACACTGGCTCCGTGCTGGTGATGACTGCACAGACACCTCAGGGCAAACTGCGCGGCCCCGCTGTCCACCCCGAGGTGCACACGCAGTCACCACCAGCACGGAGCTGATGCTGGGCTTTGGGTGGGGGGCAACGGGCAGTAGCGCACTAGGGCTGGGGGGCAGGGGCTTTGGATGGGGGGCAAGG